ATCCATGGAGATAATTGGATTTCTTCCCAATTATCTCCAGGATAGAAAGGAGGGGTTTGCTTGTACCAAGGGAAGGGTTTATGCCTGAGCCACTGTGATTGGCTAATGTACCATACTTGTCCCAGTCTTCCATTTGGTCCCCTAGGGGAGTGTCCACCAGGTGGGAGACCTGCATTAATACAGGGCATGTAGCCCTCAATAAATCAGATTCCTGTTTTACCTTCAAGACGGAGCTTGGTCTTGTGTTTGGGGGGATTGCTACTTTGGAGTATTCTTTTGCCTGTTCCAGGAGAGAAGGAGTTTGTATGATTCTCTGTTCGGAAGTTTGGAGCATTCCCTTGTATTCAGTTCGGGAGTTTGGCGGTCTACAGTAACTGTGCCTGTGTCTCTAAAAGGGGAAGATCTACTAAATGACGATTTCACTCCTTAATGCCAGGAGTGTCTTAACAAAGGGAGTGCAGGGGTTTTGTAGAAGGGGGACTGGGCAGGGTTTTTTGTAGAAGAGCGGGTGCTGTTTTTTTTTAGAGGAGGCAGGGGTTTTACAGAAAGGGGGGTTTGTAGGAAAAATAGTGGGTGTTTTTTTACATTTGAATTGAGGAGGGGCAAACACAGGATCCGCCCCGGGTGCCAAATGCTCTAGGTACGCCCCTGCCCACAGGTATGCAGTGTGTTTGTGTATAGTGAATTCAGAGAGTGTGTTTGTGTAGGGATGTAGCGTTTGTGTAGTGAATGCAGAGCGTTTGTGTAGTGAATGCAGAGTGTTTTTGTGTAGGGATGCAGTGTGTTTGTGTAGGCATGTAGTGTGTATAGAATGAATGCAGAGTGTGCATTTGTGTAGTGGAGATAGTGTGTGTATAGTGAATTCAGTGTGTGTGTAGTGGATGTAGTGTGTGTGTATAGTGACTGCAGTGTGTGTTTGCGTACTGGACGTAGACCCTCCCTGGACTGATAAGAAAGGGGGGGACATGACTGATGCAGAGATAAGGGGATAGGACAACATGGATATAATATGACAATATGGGGACTGAATATATATAGGGGACAGCTGGGTGGGGACTTACCAGTCAGCTTGGAAAAGTGCAGGGGTCCTGACTTGCTGTACAGCTTGCTGGGAGGCTCCAGGTGGAGTCGGATGAGGAGGAGAGAGCTGGACTGGAGAAGCTGGGACCAGTGAACCTGCCACTCTTTGGTGAGTTGGCCTGCGCTAGCGCTTGGTGTACTGCTGGGGGCCTGGGCAGGACAGTGAAGTATTGTGCCTGCTTAGGATATTCGTAGGTGGTAGTCAGACTAAGGGTAGTAGGTCAGGGGTTCTAGGGCAGGTGAGAAATGTAGAGCACTTTCAGTAATTGGTTGCAGGGATAACATCTTTGCAAGTATCCTGGTGCGTCGTTTCTCAGAGCGGGCCCCCCCCCCCGACCTGATTTGGGGATCGTACAAGGTGTAGGGAGGACAATTTAAATATGTTTAAATATGACCAGCAATTTTGGGGTGCAGAACTGCAGCCTCTGGCTGCTACTCATGACCCTGTGTCGCCCGTCTCATTTTCCAGGGCCTGCCGGCGTGCCAGCCGGAACGTCGGTGGGACATAGAAAAGGAGTCTGTTGGCTCTTCAATGAGAGCCATTGTAAGTGGTTCAGCTCCTGCAGATTTCGGCATGAGTGTGCCCACTGTGGAGGTGCCCATCCGGCTCTGCGCTGTTTCAGTAAGGGCAGGCCCAACGCCGCAAAGGGCGTTGGTCGGAAAGTTTGCTACAAATCTGCGTTTGTTTCGAGGTAGGGAGGATTTGTTGCAGGACAAACTAGATGCCGAGGTTCGGCGGGGGCGGATCGCAGGCCCCTGTGATTCCCCCACTTTTCATAATTTAAGGGTCCCCCCCACCCCGGGTTTGGTTCCCAAAAAGTAACCGGGGACTTCAAGGCTGATTCAGCAACTGTCATACCCAGTGGTGGGTCGGTCATTGACGACATTGACAAGGAAGTGTGTAGGGTGCGTTTCGCGTCGTTTGACTTGACGTTGCAGCTGGTCCGGCGGGCGGGCGGAGGGGCGTTGTTGGCAAAATCAGATATAGAGTCCGCTTTTCGACTGTTGCCTGTACACCTGGCTTGTTTTCATTTGTTGGGGTGTTTTGTTAAATGGTTTTACTACTATGACATGTGGATGCTGATGGGCTGCGCCATTTCCTGTTATTATTTTGAACTGTTTGCTTTGTTTTTGGAGTGGGTAATGGCGTGTGAGTTGGGTTTGGGGTCCTTGACTCATTACTTGGACGATTTCCTGTTCATCAGCCCTGCTGGTTCACAGGATTTTTTTTTCTTTGTTGCAGGCTTTCCGGCATGTGGCGTCCGATTTTGGGGTTCCGTTCTGGTGTCGGTCTTGTCGTTCTTAGGTATCAAAATCGACTCTGTTCGGATGGTTTTTCATATCCCGGACGAAAAACTGGTTGATTTGGTCAAGGGGTCTAAGAAGGTCCAACTGCGCCAGATGCAAATGCAGGGGCTGCTGGGTCACCTGGACTTCACGTGTCGGGTACTGTTATGGAAAGGGGGTTCTGTCGCAGGTTGTCGTTGTTGGTGTTTGGGTTGAGGGAGCCCTATCACTACATCCAGGTAATGTTGGGTTTGCGGGCGAATTTGCTGGTATGGATTTCCTTCCTCAGCTGTTACAACGGGCACTTCTGCTGGTTGAGGGAAGCTACCTGTGGCGAAAGTGACCTCGCCACTGGTTGTTGGAGAGGCCTGTTTGTCCGCCTCCTACCTTCTGACTATGTCCCCTGGGAGATTGTGCCCTTTAACAACAGTCTTGGGGCTTATGGACTTGTATTGGACCATGCTGGCCCTTTAAGAACCATCTGGGGACATATTGAGACTTTATGTGACAATGCCCCTTTAAGACTATGTCCCCAAACCTTTAAAATCCTTTGTGCATGGCTTTCTCCCACTTGGTTCAGTAAATGGGGCTTACTGAACCAAGTACTGTACAGGTGGACCACCCAGAAGTGGAAGCATGCAGGCTATTTACCTCCCAGGCTGGGAGCCTGCTGTAGGTAAATTGCTGACCGCTGGGTGACCGCCGTCCGTACAGACGAACACGTGGCGGCGGCCATCTTTAATTCAGCTGACGTTTTACCTTCTCCAGACTTCAATGCATTTGACAATTCGAACGCCGTTTGATAGTTCATTCGACAATTCGAATGGTTGTCATTTGTCTGTTTGAACTGACTTTAACATGGGAAATAGACCAGCCGCACAGCCTGAATTTAGGATCCCCACCCACCGCTCAGGGGTGGGGGCCAGGGGAGAGGACATTAGGTCAGGGGTGGAGGCCAGGGGGAGGACATTAGGTCCCCCCCTTCGCTCAGGGGTGTGGGCTAGGCCCTTAGTTGGTATTTAGGGTCCCCACCCACCGCCCAGGGGTGGGGGCCAGGGGGGAGGACATTAGGTCCTCCCCCATTTATTCTAATTTAGGGCCCCCACCCACCGCTTATTGTTGGGGGCCAGGGGGGCGGACAATAGGTCCCCCCCTTATTCCATTTAGGGCCCCCACCCACCGCTCAGGGGTGGGGGCCAGGGGGGAGGACAATAGGTCTCCCCTCTTATTGGTATTTAGGGCCCCCACCCGCCGCTCAGGGGTGGGTGCCGGGGGGGAGGACAATAGGTCCCCCCCCATTATTTTACTTTGGGGCCCCCACCCGCTGCTCGGGGGTGGGGGAGGGGGGAGGACAATAGACCCCCCATTTTTTTACTTTAGGGCCCCCATCCACCGCTCAGGGGTGGGGGCCGGAGGGGGCAAAAGGTCTCCCCTTTAGTTTAAAAGCCCCCAAGCGCGCGGCACGGGTGGGGGCTCGGGAGGGGGGACTCACTGCTCACTGTTTAATAGACATGCCCCTACTCACGGTATAGCGAGTAGGGGCAAAATTTACTAATACTAAGTAATTTTTACTTAGTATTAGTAAATTTGGTTTAAAGACCAATTTAGGTATTTCAGCCTTTTGGTAGATAACTCCCTAATAACGCGGGAATTAGGGAGTTATCTACTAAGCGGCTGCAAGAGAAGTCCCGAAGTGTCGAACCGAACTGAAGTGCCGAAGTTCCGAATTCACAAATTTCGGAATGCCTTAACAAAAATTTTCACCATGCACATGCCTACTGCAAACTCCCAATAGGTGCTTTTAATAAGAATTCGTTGGCCATTATTTTATTTTATTTGGATTATGCTTTCTGCATGTGCCACATTACTGTATGTTAGCATATCTATATGTACCCCATATGATGACTAAGTCTTTGGATTTTCACTTTGTAAGCCCTGTACTCATTATGTCTTGTGACCCTCAATTTATCACTGTTGTTTCAGTCCAATACTTTGTATGATTGTTCTTCTGATTTACTGAAAATATATATTTTTTTTCAATAAACATTTATGGAATATAAAATGTAATTTAGAACAAGAACAATGTATCTTATTTAGACAGACTGTTCTAAACACATTTATTATAGTTTAAAGTCACATTACTGGGAGTATTAATGCTGTGGAGCTCTTTTCCATAAACTTTGACACAGCAACAATATGGAGCTCCTGGAAAGGAGGGACAGTAGGATAGAAAAGAGGATCAGAGGGATTTGGACTCAAAATAGGGACTGTCCGTCCTAAATAGGGACACTTGGCAGGAGTTCCTGTAGGTCTCTAAATCTGGAATAAAGTCTACAGCGATGGCTTGGAATATGGTGTATTTAATCAAACATAAAGCTTGTGAGAGTGAGTTGATTTTGTGACAATAATTTAAATTTAAATTCCCCTGTAGTGTTCCATACATACAGAGAAAAAAGTAATTTTGTCATTTCCACAGACACATTGTGTTCAGACATTCTTTTTCAGAATTCAGAACATCAGATTTTATTGTGATGTCACTGACCAGCTGTTCAGAGAACCCAGATCCTGCTGGTTTTACCAGCATTTCATGAGCATTTCTAATGCAGTGAGATACTTTTGAAAATACCAAGAGTATGGGAAATTATATATCTATATTTCAAATCCCCCTGGTCCCACGGCTGTGGGATATACAACCACCATCCAGGAGGGTCATTACTGATAAAGAATGTATAACACAGCCTTCGATGAACAGGTTAGTGGATAGTTGCAGCTGGTATCACTATAGAGTTATGTGGGAGTGGGGGTTTACATGTAACAGGGTTTAAAATGAAAGTTGTGACTTTATTGATTATTAGTTTTATGATTTTTTTCACTAGGCTCATTATGAAATCAATGAATGATTACTATAGTAATTAAAATTATAATGATCAGAATACCTATGTGACTTTATTAATCACATTTTCTTCCTTAATTAGGATACATCGAAAAGAAAATAAACCCCAAAGCATACCTCTAGGGGGCAAATGGTGTCCTGGACAGAGCCATGAAAAAACGGCTTACTGCAGCCACATGAAGGCTAAACCATGGACCAAGAGTCTGCTTGATGACATAGATCAGACAAGTGTTTGGAAGCTCAGGTAAATGTAGCATGACACACAGAATGACTGACTATAACGCTATAAGGTTATCTAAACCAACCCACAGTGTACTCCGTGAACCAGAACCCTACTTCTAACACTCGCTGTCTGTGTAAGCAAGAAGCCAGTGAGAGAAGTATTGCAGTGAATAACTTAACTGGTTTCTCTAAATCAAAGTCACAAATTGTTTGAGACTACTACTGCAATATGACTTGCCAGACATCGCCTAATTTCATTACGGAATATATTTTACTGTAAACAGAAACTTATTGTAAAAGAAATCATTTAAAGTAAAAACAACACAACCAATATGTGATCACTGAAAAGACAGGTGCTATCATAATGTTATTATAAATGGAGTATGATTGACAGATAGAGAAGGACAGGGCATCCGATGGAGAGTAGGGATAGGATGTATGATGTGAGGAAGAGAGAGAAAGAGAGAGGATGGATTGATAGATGGAAAGGAAGAAAAGAACACAACTACTGACATTATTTTGTTTTGTCACAATTTCTTTATTGAAAGTTTTGTTCACATACAAATATGTCAGTACATAGCAAGCACTGGTACCATCATGTTTTAGCAAAAGTTCAAAAAATACAATAATGCATTTTCCACTGAGGTGTACGTGTAACAGTGCTTTCTTTCAAATATAACGGAAAGCAAATCAGAAATAATGAGAAAACTGCAAATTAAACCATCTAAATTCATAAACGCCTGCTATAGTGTAAAAATCATGTCTCCTACTTGCTTCTATGTTCTCTGAAATATATTCTGGGAATATGCAAACTCAAGAACTCTTTGTATCCCCATTGTACCTTTTATCGATATCCATTTGGGCTTAAGATCTAACTGTAAAGCAATAAAGTGAATAGGTGAGAGCAAACACACAGAATGGTAAAATACTACCACTTTAAAATCTTGAATGGCAAATGGTAGCTGTCAGATATATATTGCTGAGCCTATTCCTAGCAGGCTCAGACTTTCAAGGCTCTTCAATATATAACCTCCGGATTGCTGCTTACTGGATCTGCTTAGTCCCAAGAACATGACTTCCAAACTTGCATAAGTGAAAAAAACACTATTTAGTGGGCACACAGTGCGATATGTAAAACACTAAGATAAAAATAAGTTTAAAAAATAAAGCACAGTAAAAATAAAGACAGGAGGAGGCCCAGTGTATTCCTTTCATTGGATGCAGAAAAATCATTTGATAGGCTACACTTGGCCTTCCTTTTATCAGTTCTTAGGAAATATAAATTTCCCTCGATGTTTTTGTCAATGGTAAAACCATTATATAGTAATCCAAGTGCAAAGATATCAAAGTTTTGGATTCCTATAATAACTGTTCGTATTATAAATTAAACTTAACGAAAACACAAGCTATGGGGTTAAATATGTCTAATCAGGATCTACAGAATATAGAACAAAATTTTAGATATGATTGGAGATCCGATCATCTTAAATTCTTAAGGGTTGCGTTCATGCCAAGTACGAGCAAATTATATAAGGTTAATTATACTAAATTATACGAGGATATTAAGAACCTATTACTAGGGTGGAAGGGGAAATTTATCTATTGGTCTGGGTGAATAGCGGCTGTAAAGATGGTAATTATACCTAAATTTCAATACTCATTTAGATCCCTACAGACTGCAGTTCATTCCAATTATTTTAAGGAAGTACAGAAAATTATTATATAATCATATAAAAATGCTTATATCTGGAGAAACAAATGCCCGAGAATTGTGGTCTCTATATTATATAAACCATTTGAACAAGGATAAATGAGTGCACCTAATATTAGATTATACTATCACGCTTCAGTAATCAGTTCTTTAATCAATGCCCAGTCTAGCATTTCTTTACCACATTGGGCACAAATAGAATCAGACCAGATACAAAATTGTCAAGTGACATCATTGATATGACTGCCAAAAACACTTAGGCCTAAATTGACCCAAATGCTACCTCTAACGGTCCTTACTGTACAAATTTGGGCTTTATAGAGACATAGACATTCATCGTATGGGCCCATTTCATCTGCTATGCCTATTTCAACACTTTCACAACGTTTAATTATAAATCATGGGGAAAATATGGAGTTAGATTTCTATATCAGGTAATTCACGGTAAAGAGGTAGTAGACTTTTAAATTTTGAAAGTAAAATATAACCTTACTAATATAGCATACTATTCATATTTACAACTTCAGTCATGGATGCGTAGGCTTTTTGTATTAGACCCAAATAATAAATATGGGCAGCAATTGACTGACCTCAAACAAATGTGTATGGGGCTTAAAAAAACAGGAACATTTTTTCCTTGCTTATGCCTATATGGTTAAATCAGCACAGCCAAGTTTACATAACTTCATGGAGGCATGGCATAAAGATATGGGGAAAATTCTTTCAGAATGTGAATGGAATTAAATCTTTAAAGCACATAAAAATATAACATTATGTTCATATCATATAGATCGCTGAAGAAAAATGCTTTACAGGTGGTATTGCCCCAAACTAAGACTTTTTGGAGAGCGATTGCAGGCCTTATTACATCTTGTACTGGCATCACCCTTCCTTTAGAGCCAGACTGTTTCTTATTAAAAAATGTCCACAGCAACCTCCTAAAATAGAATCAATATCTTATTTATCATATAATAATTAGTGCATTAGGAAATATAGGTAAAATTGGTTGATGACTGATGATGTGTAATCAAATCATTATTGTATATGTAAAGTGATTATGAAAAAATGTTAACCCCTTAAGGATGGCAGGTCCTTGGGGACCCGACTCTAAACGCTGGCGGGTGGCATAGCACGTCAACACCGTCCTATTTACTTACCTGCCTTATCGCGATGGTGGGACTTGCCTGGCATCTCAGGGAGTCCCCCTGCTGCTGATCCGGACCTCATGGGCCATGGGATCGCGAGGTCCTTGCGAGGACCTCACGATCACATGGACGAAATAGCCGTCCATAGCAGTGCCAGTAGGGGGAGTGCCTGGATTGACAGGCAGTCCCCCTGCTGCATGAAATAAAGTAAAATAAAATTTTGACAAAGTTTAAAATTAAATAATATATACTTAGATCATATATATATGTATATATAAATTATATATGATCTAAGTATATAATAAACTTACACATACATACACATACACTAAGTTTTTCTTTAATTAATATATATATGTATATTATTATCAAAATACACGTAGAATGATATTAATTAAATATATATATATATATATATATATGTATGTAAAAAATAAAAATACTTTAAAAAAATTATATATATACACACATATATATATATATATATATATATATTAATTCTATGTATATATTTATGTAATATTTTTACATAATTAAGTCATTTTATTAATTACGATTTGCTGAACCTGCCTTAAATACCGCTAAAAAAATACCCAGGCAGAAAGTCCAGAGAATTCAATTTGCTAGCACTATATTTAACCCTGTAACTTTCCAAGACACCATAAAACCTGTACATGGAGTTTACTGTTTTACTCGAGAGACTTCGCTGAACACAAATATTAGTGTTTCAAAACAGTAAAATGTATTACAACGATGATATCATCAGTGAAAGTGTAGTTTTTTTGCATTTTTCACACACAAACGGCATTTACACTGACGATATAATTGTTGTGATACGATTTACAGTTTTGAAACACTAATATTTGTGTTCAGCGACGTCCCCTCAGTAAAACAGTACCCATGTACAGGATTTATGGTGTTTTCAAAAGTTACAGAGTCAAATATAAGGCTTGTGTTTCATTTTTTTCCTACTGAATTTCACTTTGAAATTTGCCAGATTGGTTACATTGCCTTTGAGACCGTATGGTAGCCCAGAAAGGAGATTTACCCCCATGATGGCATACCATTTGCAAAAGTAGACAACCCAAGGTATTGCAAATGGGGTATGTCTAGTCTTTTTTATTAGCCACTTAGTCACAAACACTGGCCAAAATTGGCGTTCAAATTAATTTTTTGCACATTTCACACACAAACAAATATTAACACTAACTTTGGCCAGTGTTTGTGACTAAGTGGCTACTAAAAAAGACTGGGTTGCAATACCTTGGGATGTCTGCTATTGCAAATGGTATGCCATCATGGGGGTAATTCTCATTTCTGTGTACAGTAAAAAGCATGAAGCGCTTTTGTATTATGGAGATTATATAATTATTCACCTTTGGGAAATTGAAGGGTGTTCCCTTGCGTGCCAGAAAGAAATGTGTTGCTATTTATAAAAGATAACCAAACATAGTATAGACTGTATATAATTTTACAAAGATTTATACAATAATATTTAAACTCACAAACAGAGAGCTATAGACCCAGCTCTGGTATATATTGTTTCTGGGTCCGTTTAGGCGACCCACCCCTATTATCAGAACGAAATTTCTTGTCCTGCAGGGGGGAATGAAAGCACACACGATTGCGCAATATTGCTGGTGCTATTCTTAATATACAAAGCAAATTCCCAAGTGGGTACTTACAATAACTGGAGTCATTATTAGTGACTCAATTCCACAGCGTTGTGCAGATTTGGGACTGCACTCCCATCTGTTAAAAAGAATTCTGGAACCAGGATAAAGTCATAAAAATAAAAGTTTAATTTATTGTAATAAAGTATAAAATAAAACAGGCAACAATGTCCTTTTAAAAACGGAACAATGTCCTCTAAAACCGGAACGCGTTTCGCCACTTCACCGTGGCTTCTTCAACCGGAGAAAATGATTTCAAAGACCCTTGGTTCCTTATCCTTCTTAAATACCGCTAAAAACAGTGGGTGAAGGGTTAAAGCAGGTGTACCTCACACGTTGTTACCACCCACAGGTAGAACGTGTGCGGTCCATGCCTCCCTCTCACCTCACTATCAGAGACCGCCAGTACTTTTCCTCTCTGGAATTGTGTCAGCTGTATTCGTTTTGTGCTGTGTTCTGTTGTAAATATTCAAAGGTCTCTTGATTTCCCGAATCCAATTTAGTGTATTTCTGGTGTTTATACCTATTAGAGAGATCATTCTCGTATTTTCCCTTAGGATGATTCAGGTCCATATCGGGTAATATTAACCCATTGATTGCCACAGTCCATGTTAGTTCATATATAGATAAATAGAAGAAACAAACAGAAAAAAAGAAGAAGGTGTTTAACATTCGTTTTTCTTCATTAAAAATCATTTATACCTGTCATGACTTGCTTTGGTGTTTAATCCAGTAAAATACCTTGTAGCAACAAGTTAGCAGAAATTTTTGCAGTATATATATTCCTAAAAGAATATAGCTATATTTTTTCTATATACTGCAAAAATTTCTGCTAACTTGTTGCTACAAGGTATTTTATTGGATTAAACACCAAAGTTTTGTCTTTGTTTTATTTTGATCAAAACGTGTACGTTTTGCTCAGTCCTTTAGGGGTTAAATAAAAAATAAAATAAAAAAAAAGTTGTCCTAGATTAGTCGATCTGTAAATAAATGTGTGATCTGTAGAAATTTATAAAATTCTAATTAGCACTTAAATCTGTAAGAGAAGGTAGGGCTTATCTCTTAAATAACAACCTCACAGAAGTAATTCCTTTTACAGTCCCTATTGATAAATGTAAGTCAGGAATCCAGTCCTGTAAAGTTTGGATAGGGTCTGCCCTTTAGATGTCCGACAGGCAACGAATATTTCTCACCAGTTGATGCCACACTTGAAGTGCGTATCTTGTAGTACATTACAATTGTTTAGCTAATAGAGGGGATTTATCTATCCACAAAGGTATGTGCTATGTGTTCAGAAGCTACCACTGCATCCTCCGTATCCACCCATTGTTTTCTAAATTGACTGGAGCACAATACATTTTTTTGGGAAGAATGGTTGCCTGATGGCAATGTACTAGGTGAAGGACACCCATGCCACCTCTCAACCAATTACAATACAAGATCCCTTTTGCCACTCTTGGTTTTTATGGCCATTACACTAGCGCAGTAATTTACCTTTCTAATTTAATTTTTTGTCTTATCTAGATGTTTACCCTGACCTATTTAGCAATGATGGCTTTTGCTATCCCCAACACCCATTTAGTCTAGAAAAATAACATCAGGCGAGTGAATTATGACCTCACTAATCACATTTTCTTTTTTATTTAGGAATCATCAAAATGATGAAAAACCCCAAAGAACACTTCTAGGGGGGAAATGCTATCCTGGAGAGAGCAATCTACAAAAACTTGCTACTTCCAAAGATGACAAATTACTTAATGTTACTCGAAAAGAGGCCAAAAAAACTCGAGAGGCTGCAACTGCCGCAGTTAAGGCCACGGAGGAAAAAGAAACAAAAAAGGATCAAAATGCTTCCTGGAGCCACATAAGGGCTAAGCAATGGAGCAAGAGCTTGCTTGATAGCATAGATTCAACAAGTATTTGGAAGCTCAGGTAACTGTTACATGACACAAGTTAAAGAAATAATGCATTTTCCCCTGTGTAGGTGTATGTGAAACAGTCTTTTGTTACAAATATAACAGAAAGCAAATCAAAAACAATAAGTAAAATGTACATTAAACCACCTAAATTCTTAAATGCCTGCTGTCAGGCCCGGACTGGCCATCGGGCACACCGGGCAAATGCCCGGTGGGCCGCGGTGGCCATGGGCCGAGGCCGGTAGGGGAGGTCCCAGGATCTCCCCTGCCGGTCTATGCAGGGCCGGCACTCTCTCAGCGCCGGCCCCGCTTTGTGCCACGACGGGCCGGTGAGGAGATCAAGGATCTCCCTGACCGGCCCACATGCGGCCGCCGGCGGGGAGGGAGGGAGACAGCCAGCCAGGCTGGAGAGAGGACTCGGCGGAGCTCTAACTTGCAGCTCCGCCGGGTTCCTCTCGCGAGATCTGGCGCGTTGCCATGGCAACGACCGGATCTCGCGAGAGTGAACTCTAGCCTCACAGGCTAGAGTTCACTCACCCACGAGGACCACCAGGGAACACTGCCACCCTGCCTGCCAGCGTGCCGGACCCCCCCTCCCAGGCTAAAGGTAAGAAGGGAGGGGGGGACATAATGCCTGTTTTTTTTTTTTTATTTTTTTTATTTACCCCCCCCCTACACACACACACAATAACATTTATACAGCACTCTCACACCCATCACACACAGCACTCTCACACCCATCACACTCACAGCACTCTCTCACACAGCACTTTCACACACAGCACTCTCTCACAGAGCACTCTCACACACACACAGCACTCTCTCACACGGCACTCTCACACCCATCACTCACACCGCACCCTCACACACACACATACTGCACCCCTCACATACACACAGAACCCCCCCAACACACTGCACCACACACATACACAATACTTCCAAATATATATATGTGTGTGTGTGTGTGTGTGTGTGTGTGTGTATATATATGTATATACACACACACACACACACACACACACACACAACACTCTTAAAGGACCACTCTAGCCACCCATAACACTTCAGCTTAATGAAGTGGTCTTGGTGCTAGGTCCTTCTAGGGTTAACCCATTGTTTTATAAACATAGCAGTTTCAGAGAAACTGCTATGTTTATCAATGGGTTAAGCCTTCCCCCAAAGCCTCTAGCAGCTGTCTCATTGACAGCCGCTAGAGGTGCTTGCGTGCTTTTCACTGTGAAAATCACAGTGAGAGCACGCAAGCGTCCATAGGAAAGCATTATAAATGCTTTCCTATGCGACCGGCTGAATGCGCGTGCAGCTCTTGCCGCGCGTGCGCATTCAGCCGACGGGGCGGATCGGAGGAGGAGAGCTCCCCGCCCGGCGCTGGAAAAGGTAAGTTTTAACCCCTTTCCAGAGCCGGGCTGGAGGGGGTCCCTGAGCCACATATGCATCACATTACACCACAAACACAACACGACTAAAACCGACCTTATTACACAATACCACACCACGACCAGCTCACTCTACACACACGCAATACCACAAGCAGGCTCCAAACACATGCACAATACTCTTTCCTGGCCTTTTGTCTCCTGGTATCCATTTATAGAGACACCAGAGACAAGTTGCAAGGAAACACAGTGCAAGCATGTTATTAAATTTGCTTGCACTGTGCAGAACAAATACAGGACTTTTTTCTCATGCTAGAGCTCTTCAGCAGAGCTCTGCGCATGGTCTGCCCTGGAAGAGCATTGAACCAACATGCTCACTTTGAGAGGAGGCGTGTTTGTCATTGGTGATGACAAAACACACCTCCTATGCCCCGCCCCCTTTTTAGTGGGCCGCTGTGTTAAAAAAATGCCCGGGCCGAATTTTTCTCCCAGTCCGGCCCTGCCTGCTGTAGTGTCACAATCATGTCTCCTACTCTATGTTCTCTGAAATATATTCTGAGAATAAACAAACTCAAGAACTCTTTTCTATCCCCATTGTACCTTTTATCTGGACCCATTTGGGCTTAATATCTGACTGTGTTGATCATAAGAGGAAGATTAGTAGGGAGTTGAACTTTAAAATGTAAAAAAAACTTTCACAAACTTTTTTGTTTTCAAGAATATTCATTGCACAAATTTGTAAACTGTATGTTAGAAAGAGTTCTCTCAAGGCTCCATTAGAGACTACTACCTCTGTCTCTCTAACACTCTAGCCCCCATTCACATGACAGGTGTATAGTCGCCATTTTGGGCAGTCGGAATCCAGGACAACAACCCCATAACCTAACCCAATAACGCACGGACACTAAGGGATATGGGGAAATTTGTCCACAGCTTTATTAAGCAAACAATAATAATAACAATAATAATAATAATAATAATAATGATAATAACTTAACAAGTAAAACATGGGTCATTGCCCCCCATACTTCGCCCTCGCATCCTATTCCTTCCATTAACATATAAAGGGCAATGACCCCCATATAAATAAACATATATATATATATAACATACATCAACATTATTCCAATCGATGTAAAGTGCCAACCATCCATTAGCCACGGCAGGGGTATACCCGGATACCCCTACCCCACCAGGTTCTGAGCCACCGACAGGACTCGAAACCTATCAACCACCGATGACCACCACTTGTTTGTTTTCCATTACGTTCATCCTGGGGAGCCTATTTCCTTTCCTTCAGCTCCCCATCCCGCCGCTGTGAAAAAACGGGACAAAACCACGCATAACAAAACAGGGAGGGTGGGAGGGACAAACTTACCCAGGTAGGAAATTAGAATGACTTACCTAAAATGGCTGCCCATTTAAATAACCAAACCTACTTACCCATAACTCCACTCTCTTGCTTACTTCCTCCTAAGCCCGCCTCCTAACCCCTGTCAGGGCCTTTTTCCGCTTAGCTGCGCCTGGCTACATGGGGCTACATGACAGGTGTATAGTCGCCATTTTGGGCAGTCGGAATCCAGGACAACAACCCCATAACCTAACCCAATAACGCACGGACACTAAGGGATATGGGGAAATTTGTCCACAGCTTTATTAAGCAAACAATAATAATAACAATAATAATAATAATAATAATAACCCCTTAAGGACGGAGCCAAATGTACACAGTGTGAACGAAACAAAATGTAAACAAAACCTGGCATTTGCGCTACATGTCTGTCCAACCGTAATACACCTCTTTCATAGTAAATGCACCCACCCTTATTATATATCATTTTATTCAGGGGAAACAGGGCTTTCATTTAATATCAAATATTTAGCTATGAAACATAATTTAATATGAAAAAATGGGAGAAAATAAGATTTTTTTGATTTTGTTTAGTTCTACATGACATTTTAACTGTCAATGTCATAATACTGTTTGCTTTTACTGCAATAAAATACACATATTTGTATTCAGCAAAGTCTCACGTGTAAAACAGTACCCCCTATGTACAGGTTTTATGGCGTTTTGGGAAGTTACAGGGTCAAATATAGCACGCTACATTTGAAATTGAAATTCGCCAGATTGGTTATGTTGCCTTTGAGACTGTATAGTAGCCCGGGAATGAAATTTACACCCATAATGGCATACCATTTGCAATAGTAGACAACCCAAGGTATTGCAAATGGGGTATGTCCAGTCTTTTTTAGTAGCCATTTGGCCACAAACACTGGCCAAAGTTAGCGTTAGTATTTGTTTGTGTGAAAAATGCAAAAAACGCCAATTTTGGCCAGTGTTTGTGACTAAGTGGCTACTAAAAAAGACTGGACATACCCTGTTTGCAATACCTTGGGTTGTCTACTATTGCAAATGGTATGCCATCATAGGGGTAATTTTAATTCTTGGGCTACCATAGGGTCACGAAGGCAACGTAACCAATCTGGCGAATTTTAATGTGAGAAAAATGAAACACAAGCCTTATATTTGACGCTGTAACTTTTGAAAACACCATAAAACCTGTACATGAGGGGTACTGTTGTACTCGGGAGACTTCGCTGAACACAAATATTTGTGTTTCAAAACAGTAAAAAGTATTGCAGCAATAATATCATCCGTGTAAGTGCTGTTTGTGCGTGAAAAATGCAAAAAACTTTTACTGGTGATATCATTGTTGTAATACATTTTACTGTTTTGAAACACTAATATTTGTGTTCAGCGAAGTCTCCCGAGTAAAACAGTACCCCCAATTTACAGGTTTTATGGTGTCTTGGAAAGTTATAGGGTTAAATATAGTGCTAGCAAATTAAATTCCCTATACTTTCAGGATGGGTTGTCAGGCAGGTCCCGCTAATTGTAATTAATTAGGATACCTAATTATGTAAAAATATTACATAAATATATGTGTAGAATTAATATATGTATATATATACATATGTGTATATATACATATATATATAATTTTTTAAAATATTTTTATTTATATATAGGTGTATATATTTAGTGATATATATGTATATATTTATGTATATAGATATATATATTATTTCGTTCTACGTGTATTTTGATATAAATATATATATATATTAATATCACAATACAGTTAGAACGAAATAACAAACATCTATATATTTTTTTTATTATTTATTTTTAATTATTTTTTTAATTTTATTTTTTTACGTATTTACATTTTTATATTATATATAAATATATATATATATATAACAATAATTATATATATATATATTTAATCAGTATTAGTCTACGTGTAATTTGATAGTAATATATATATAAATAATTATATATATTAATATTTAAATACACTTCGTGTATTTGTAAATGTGTGTGTGTGTGTGTGTATATATATATATACTTAGATCATATATATATAATATATATGATCTAAGTATATTTTATATTTAACTGTAATTTTTTTTTTTTACTAATATTTTATTTATTTTTACAGGACAGGGGGCAGAGACAGTGTCAGCCAGTGATTTTACATCACTGGCTGACACACAGGATCAGTGATCACAGTGACTGCCTGTCACTGTGATCACCTCCTGCAGATTGGGTAATTGGCCACAGGAGGGAGTGCCTGGGTGGTACAAGCACTCCCCCCTTCCAATCTGCAGGGTGATCTGTGTGCCAGTTACATGTGTCGGCCAATGGGCTGACACAGCGCCATATGATACGCAGTGACAGGCTGTCACTGCGGTCAGTCTTCTGGATACGCGGTGACATTGTCACTGCGTCTCAGGATTAACGAATCAGGTCACTGACCCCAGGGGGACTGCCTGGGGGTGGGTAAGTCCCCGACGCGTCTGCGCGAGAGGAAAACCCGCTGGCCCGCGTGTGTCAGCGATTTGAGAATGCGGCTGACACCGCGTCGCTATTGATAGCGGTGACGGCTGTCACTGCGATCAGTATTTAGTCAGCGGTCACGCGTACGGAAGTGCGCTGGGGGGTACGACCCGACCAGCGATCTGCAGCGGGCGAATAGCGCCGGCCACGTGGGCGGCCATTAAAGTGAGGGCGTACTATTACGCCCGCCGGCGTTTAGAGCCGGCTCCTGCAGGGCGTAATAGTACGCCCTCCGGATTTAAGGGGATAACTTAACAAGTAAAACATGGGTCATTGCCCCCCATACTCCGCCCTCGCATCCTATTCCTTCCATTAACATATAAAGGGCAATGACCCCCATATAAATAAACATATATATATATAACATACATCAACATTATTCCAATCGATGTAAAGTGCCAACCATCCATTAGCCACGGCAGGGGTATACCCGGATACCCCTACCCCACCAGGTTCTGAGCCACCGACAGGACTCGAAACCTATCAACCACCGATGACCACCACTTGTTTGTTTTCCATTACGTTCATCCTGGGGAGCCTATTTCCTTTCCTTCAGCTCCCCATCCCGCCATAAGCTCAGACCTTGACCCCTTAAGCCGTCTGAGCTCCGCCACCCCGAAGAAACAGCGCCTGCTGCATACCAACCTGCCAACCCAAGTTGAGCAGATCCCAACCCACCTCCAAAAGATGAACCCCGTCCGAGCGGTAGTACCCTGGCAACCCCTCTTCCAACTCGCCGTGCCGTACCACCACGCCCCCCACCTTCCTAACAAAGCTTGCCATCAAGCTGTTCACTTTCTTCCTGCATTGATTGATCGCCACCGGATCCCGGCGTGCCGCCACCGACGCCTTGGGACAATCTCCGACCACACTAACAGAACCCCCGGAAGCAGGTCCCTCAGTTTGTTGATGTCCTGCTTCATCCATTTTACCAACCGTCGTTGCGGCGTAAGGCCCAAGTCGTTACCCCCGGCATGAAGGACCACCATGTCCGGCGTTTTCCCGCCTGCAACCATCCTAAACATTGCCCCACAAACCTCCCCCCAGCAAAATACCCGGTACCCAAACCATCGGACTGCCAACTGGTCCTTCGGAAAGCCCAGCTGCTGGCCCTGTGTTCGAGCTGCGGCCCTCCTCTCGGCCCAGAAGACAAAAGAATGTCCCACAATCCAAGCAACCCGTCCTGGGGAGAAGAGGAAACAAACGTGAGGGAAAGGCAAAGGGAAACTCCCCCGTCCATGCCCGCCCCCGTACCTTATATATACATATATATATATATATATAAACATATACATACACATACATGTACACACACTTTTTTTTTTTGATTATTATTCCAATAAGCCCAACCGTACATATGAGCGGAACCGCACCGACTCCCATCTCCCTATGCACTTCACGACCTCATCTCCTAGTCCCAACCGTGCGGCCTCCGTGGCTGCCCCAATGCGAAAGGAGTGAGTACCAAAACGTCCGGCCGGAAGCCCCAACTTACCTAGTCCGGACCGAAAAACCTTTGTAAACTGAAATCGGGACAGGGAAGAACCATCCGCATGTACCAAGAAGGAACCCCCTACCGCCGGCCTCCGAGCCATGTACTCCGCCACTGCAGCCACCGGGCACAATACTGCGCCCGGCAGCGCCCATAGTGTTACGTACCGACCCACGCCGCGGACGTCTGTTTTGGATCTACCCAGATGCACAACCACCTTACCCTCCAAAACACGGACCCCCGAGGCCTGCAGACCCCCGGGCATGACCCTACTGGCACTCACTAGCTCCCCCACGCGGAACGCCCCGAAGAATGCCAAGAGAAAAGCCGCCCTGAACAAAGAGACCTCGAACCCGTTGAAACAAATTTCCGGCAACCGACCCACCAGATCCCCCAACACCCGTACAGACACCGGACGCCTAGAGGCACATGACCTGCGGCCCTTTCGATAACCCTTTAACGCCTGCCGAACTAGGAAGGTCTTGGTCAGATCCTCCGTCCCGCGCCACCGGAACCAGAATGCCATTGCCGCCATGGACCTGTCGACCACTGCCGGGGACGCCCCCTTTGCCAGCAATTGACAGGTGTACCACAGAAAAGCGTCCCGCAGCGCATCCCCACGTAAGCCATGATCCAACCCGTCTAATGACCGTTCCCAAGAGTCCCAGACCTTACTGTAGGAGGCCCATGTGGCCGGTGCCAGTGAAGCCTTCACAAGTCCCCCAAGCAGGACGCTCCCAGCTGCCATATCTCGTCCGGGCATGCCTGCCCCTCCTTCAATGCTCCTGGCGCCATCGTCCAAAATCGGGACCACTGAAAACGAGACAGAGCGTCAGCCACCTCATTCAGGTACCCAGGGACATGACGCGCGCGAAACACAACATTCCGTGACATACACATTAACACAAAGCGCCGCAGCAACCTAACCACCGGCTTAGAGGCAGCCGATTGATTATTCACCGCGTGCACCACCGCCATGTTGTCCAAGAAAAAGACCACTTTCTGATCCCGGAGCCCCTCGCCCCACAGTGCCATTGCAACGACCAACGGGAATAATTCCAGAAAAGCCAGGTTGCGCATGACCGGGCTGGACCCCCATGTCTCCGGCCACCGCTCCGCGCACCATCTCCCGCCGAAGTAGGCTCCGAAGCCCACACTACCCGACGCATCCGTGAAGAGCTCCAGCTCCGCCGCCGACTTACCCGCCTGCCGGAAAAACACCGTCCCGTTGAAATCCTGCAGGAAGGCATCCCAAACGCCCAAATCAGCCCTCATGGCTGCCGACACCCATATGAAGTGGTGTGGGGATCGAACCCCTGCCGTAGCAGCCGCCAGGCTGCGGCTGAAAACCCTCCCCATAGGAATTACACGGCATGCAAAGTTCAGCATCCCGATCAGTGACTGCAGTTGCCGCAGCGTAACCTTGCGCGCAACGGCCACCGCAGCCACTGCCTCCCTGAGCCCCTCCAGCTTGTCCCGAGGCAGCCGGCATTCACCCAAGATTGAATCTATTTCCAACCCCAGGAAACTAAGGCACGTCGCCGGGCCCTCCGTCTTATCCGCTGCCAGCGGCACCCCGAAGTGGCCCGCCACCCATTCCATGGTCCTAAGCAGTTGCTGGCATGCCGAGGAGGCAGCCGGCCCCACGCAAAAGAAATCGTCCAAGTAGTGCACTACTGAACGGCTCCCCGCCTCCACCCGCACCACCCATTCGAGAAAAGTACTAAATTTCTCGAAATAGGAGCATGAAATGGAACAGCCCATAGGGAGGCACAAGTCCACGAAATATTTCCCCTCGAAAAAACATCCCAGCAGGTGGTGACAGTCCGGGTGGACCGGCAGCAGCTGAAACGCCGCCTCAACATCCACTTTAGCCATAAGCGCCCCATGCCCGGCCCGTTTAACCAGCTCGACCGCCCGGTCGAATGATGCATACGAGACCGAGCACAAGTCCTTATCAATACCGTCATTCACTGACTCCCCTTTTGGGTAGGAGAGGTGGTGAATGAGCCGGAACTTCCCCGGCTCCTTCTTTGGCACCACCCCGAGAGGGGAAACCCGGAGGCCCTCCAATGGGGGTACCGTAAACTGGCCCGCCATCCGCCCTAGCGCAACCTCCTTGTCTAGTTTTTCCCGTACCACCCCCGGGAAATCCGCCACCGACTTCAGGTTGCACAACCCCCCCGATCCCCCCCGCTCCCGGAAGGGGATAAAGAAGCCCCGCCCGAAGCCTTCCCGAAGTACCGAGGCATCAGCCCTGTTACCGTAGCGGCTTAGCCACGGCTCCATCGCGTCTAGCCTCATCGGTGTGAAGCCCCGGGGCAGGGGAAGCACTCCCTCCGGCCCCGGTGGCCGCTCCGGCGGTTCCCGCCTTCCCTTTTTTGAAACAGCGATTGAGCCCATGAGCACCCCCGCAACCGGAGCACTCATGCTTAAATCGACACGCATTTCCCCATTTGCACTGGCCCTCATTGTAGAGCCAGCAGAAGCCCTTTTGTAAAGCGGCCGACGAGGCGGACTGCCCCTTCGCGCCGGCCGAGTTTGGAAAGGGCTGAGCCATCATTAGCTTCATCCAGAGAGGCAGATCCATCTGATCCCACCTCATACCCGGGTTAGCCGCCAGTCGCTGCCTAAACTGTTCATCGTACCGCCACCATGCCAGCCCCCCATAGGTGCGGTATGCTTCCCAAATGCCGTCCAAGTAGCAAAACAGGGACGAGCATAATCCCGGCGATTTTTCACCGAGCACGCTGGCCAGCACGCAAAACGCCCTTAACCAGTTACCAAAGGATTTTGGAATCTTGCGATACCGCTTCCTCTTCTCCTCCTCCTCCTTCTTCTCATCCTTTTTATCCTCCTCTTTGAGGTCAATAAAGTCCTCCAAGGGGAGCAGGGAGAAGATCTCGCAAAACTCACCTTTCCAGAGCTTCTCTTTCACGTCCTGTTTCAGATGAACCCCCAGGGGGCCCGCAAATGAGACGTACGCGTGCTGCCTCGCCGCGTCCGGAATACCCCCGGCCAGTTCCGCCCTGTCACTCCCGGCCGCCATCGCCTCGGGCGCCACCCCCACGTCCCCGCCCGAGCTAAGCCCCACGGAAACCCCACTAGGACCAGGGACCCGACCAACGCCGCCCCCCGTGTCACCCCCCGCCCCCAGTGAGTGGAGCAGTGCTTGAAGTGTGCTAACTAAGGAGCTGGAGTGTAGTGACCCACAAGACTCACCGGCCGAGCCCCCTGATACTGGAGCGGCAGGGGCTGCGTCGTCGACTGCCCGATGTCCAGGGAGAGCGACTCCCGCCGATACCTCGCCAACCGGGGAGCCAAACCGGTGCCTTGCCCGTGTCGATATGGAACGGCTCCGTGACCTGAAAAGAGGAGAAGAGGTCCTGGGTAGGGTGCACTGAGTACTCGCTTCCCCCCCGTCCCGACCCTGGGAGCGCTTGCCCATTGCCGAGGCCTCCCGCTGCGCCCCACGTGCGCGCTGCGCGCGGGAGCCCCTAGGGCTACGGCTCCTCCTGTCCCCTCCTGGCAACCGTCCCCGCCGACCACCCCTGGGGACGCTAGCCCTGCTCTCCCCTGAGCTTCCTGACATGGAGCGGCGCTGCCGGGACCTCCCCCTCCTCCCCCTGGGCTCTAAGTCCCGAACCGGAGAGGGACTACCACTACTAGACCCTGAACCAGACCCCCCCTCCTACTACCCTGCACCCCCAAACGCTCACCCTTCCAGCGAGAGCCCGACCCCCCACCTGAACTGGCTCCCAGACTAAGGGGACCCGGACCCCACTCAACTAGACTGGCCCCCCCAACCCCTAAACCAGGCCTACCCGACCCTACCAGCACCGGCCTAGCCCCAGAACCCAAGGAGGTCCCCCTCCCCCTACCAGGTGAGCCCAGCAGTCCCTCCTCACCCACAGCCCCCCCACCCCTACCACTACTCCCCCCACCTATGACCCCTGTGCCCCCCCCATCCATCACCCGCGATCCCTGGGAGGCCTTCCCGCCCCCCACTTGGGCCCTCCGCCCTCCACCCCCTGTCAGGACCCCCCCAGCACTTCTCCCGCCAAGGGGGCCCCGGCCGGAGCCCCCTGCACTTGCCTTTGGGGCCGGGAACCGGCCACGTGTCCTCCCGGTCCCGGCCCCGCCGACCTCCGCCTCCGACGGGGTGGGCGCCCTCCCGGGCCGCACCTCCATGCCGCCCGCTCCTCCCGACCGTCCCCCCGGCGCTGGGCCCCGGCCTGCTGTCGCCCGCACCGGAGCCTCCCGGACCACCAGGGACGTCTTCACCGGGTCCCCCACCCGGGCTTAGTCTCTCCGGGGGCCTCCTGGCCCGAACAGGCCTGCCACCGCCGCCGTCCCGGTTCGCCGCCTCCGCCAGGGCCGGGCCTAGCTGGGCCCTCAGCCAGTCAGCCCCCTGGTGCCTCGCCGCCGACCGGATCCCCTCCAGCAGTCGCTCCACTTCGTCCATCGGCCCTGCAGGGAGACAAAAGAAGAAAAAACCCTACCAAGCCAAATCTGTGCCCACAGGAGCGAACACAAACTTAACCAGGTAGGAAATTAGAATGACTTACCTAAAATGGCTGCCCATTTAAATAACCAAACCTACTTACCCATAACTCCACTCTCTTGCTTACTTCCTCCTAAGCCCGACTCCTAACCCCTGTCAAGGCCTTTTTCCGCTTAGCTGCGCCTGGCTACATGGGGCTACAATATAGTAAGTTAACATAGCTCTATGATACCCAGCCCAAGTTGGCTCTTCTCACCTTAATTGCTGCTGGCAGGCTGGTTGCTGTGACTGGTTGGCTGCTGGCAGGCTGGATGCTGTGACCGGCTGGCTAGCTGCTGTGGCCGGTTTGCTGACAGGCCTCTTTCTTCTCCCAGCAGGCATCTGTTTCTCCTCCAACCCCTTTGTATGTCTGTTTTTGCCTTCCTCAGCCCATCTGTGTGTCTTTGTTCCCCCCAGCCCCAATTTATGTCTTAGTGCCTCCCAGCCCCTGTGGGTGTCTGTGCCCCTCTTTTGTTGCCCCCCCTCCTGTGCCCTTCTTTTCACACCCTCCCCTCTTGTGCTGCTCTTCCCCCCGAGTCCTCTCTTGTGTACTTCTTTGGACCTCCCTCCTCCCCTCCTGTGCCCTCTTTTGCTCCACTTCCCATCCGTGCCTTTTTTGGATAGGGTCTGTCCTTAAAATGCCTGACAGACAAGGAATATTTCTTGCCAGTTGATGTAGTATGTTACAAGTGTTTAGCTAATAAAGGGGACTTATCTGCCCACAGCTTATGTGCTATGCATCGAGGGGCTACCGCTGCATCCTCTATATCTACCTTTCTAAATTGACTGGAGCACAATAAGAGCATTTAGGAAAGAATGGTTGCCTGGTGGCAATGTACTAAGGGAGAGACACCCATGCCACCTCTCAATCTATTACAATGTAAGATGCTTTTTGCCACTGCAGGTTTTTATGGCCATTAAACTGGCACAGTATTTTAATTTTTGTCTTATCTAGATGTTTACCCTAATTTATAGCATTTATAGCTTTTCCTGTCCCCAACACCCACTTCTTCCAGAAAAAAACATCAAGTGAGTGAATAATTACTTCACTAATCACATTTTCTTTCTTAATTAGGAATCATCAAAGTGATGAAAAACCCCAAAGAACACCTCTAGGTGGAAAGTGGTATCCTGGACAGAGTGATGGGTATGTACAAATAGATCTACAACCTCATTATTCTGATACTTCCAAAGATGACAAAATACACCATGTTACTCCAACAGAGGCCAAAACAACTCAAGAGCATGCAACAGCCCTAGTTAAGACTGTGGAGGAAAATTAAACTAAAAAGGGAAAAATGCTTACTGGAGCCACATGTTTTACTGTAGGCAAGGTGTTCGTTTCAGCATAAGCTTCATTTTTCTTACTCCAGACATACTGCTGATCCATTGGGCTGAAAAGTTCCTGTTTTGTTTCATCGTTCCACAGAAGTGAATCCCAAAATGACTTTTCTTGTGCTTTTGGGTCAGTAGTGGTGTATGTCTTGGAGTTTTGGCATGGAAACCTGCGTCTAGTACGCACCTTACTGGGCTTACTGAAACCTCAGTGCCTGTTGCCACCAAGTCTTGCTGCAGAATCTGTTCATTGAAAACAGCTGAAAGTCTGTCCATTTTGACAATAAACTGATTTTCAATAAGGGTTGAATAATTTTCATTGCAACTGTGTCTGAAGATGAGCAACTATCAGTTCTACAGTGTCAGGGTACCTGTTGGTGCTGAATCCAGGGAAGACATCCTCTCTGTTTAGGGGCTCCCTGCCCCTAGCATTTCGGCATATTCCGGCCGTTTTCGCGCCGGCCGCGCTAGCTCCTCCCCCTTTTATGACGCGACGGCTAGCGTCGACGTCATGACGTCGGCATTTACATAAAGTGCCGGGAACCGCTATTCCGGACCTTTTGGGGGCGTGGTCTCTATTTAGGTAACAGGGTATTTAAAGGAAACCTTTACTACTGCTCATTGCCCTGTCGTGGTTCTAGCTTGCTAGTCACTCAGCGCGTTCTTTATCTTGTGTTTCCGGTTTTGACCCTTGCTTGTCTTTTGTCCTGTTGTCCTCTCCTCTCCTTTGACTCGGCTTGTATCTCGCTTACCTGTCCTCCGGCTCCCTCGACCTCGGCTTACCTTTTGACTATTCTTGCTTTGTCCCTACGTTAGTCCGGCCATTCTAAGGTCCGGTATACGTACCTCCTTCTGTCCGCACTCTGCGTATTGGATCCCTGTCAGTATCCTGACATACAGACACTATTGTGGTTAATGTCAACTTGTTCTTTAATAGTGGATTTGTAAATAAATGTGTGATTTGCAGAAATGTATAAAACTCCTGTTTAGTCCGGTCATAATTAGCCCTTAAATCTGTAAAGCAAGTTAAGGCTTATCCCTGAAATAACAACCTCAGAAGTAATGCCATTTACATTCCCTGTTGATAAATGTAAGTCAGGAATCCAATCGTGTAAAGTTTGGATAGGGGCTGCCCTTGAAATGTCCGACAGGCAAGGAATATTTCTCACAAGTTGATGCCACACTTGAAGTTACAAGTGTTTAGCTAGTATAGGGGACTAATCTGCCCACAACTTATGTGCTATGCAGAGAGGGGCCACCACTGCATCCTCCGTATCCACCCATTGTTTTCTAAATTGACTGGAGCACAATAAAAGCATTTAGGAAAGAATGGTTGACTGATGGCAATGCACTAGGGAAGAGACACTTATGCCACTTCTCAATCTATTACAATATACGATCCTTTTTGCCACTTTAGGTTTTTATTGCCATTAAACTGGCAAACTATTTTAATTTACAAATTTAAATTTTTGTCTTATCTAGATGTTTACCCTAACTTCTTTAGCAATGATGGTTCTCCCTATCCCGAACACCCCTTTTTCCAGAAAAATAATATCAGACGAGTGAATTATGTGACTTCACTACACTAATCACATATTCGTTCTTAAATAGGAAACATTCAAATGATGAAAAACCCCAAAAAACAACTCTAGGGAGAAAGTGTTATCCTGGACAAAGCCATAGGTATGTACAATTATATCTACAATCTTATATTCTGCTTCTTCCAAAGATGACAAAATATCCAATATTACTCAGAAAGAGGCTAAAACAACTCAAAAGGCTGCAACAGCCCTAGTTAAGTCCTCCCACCCCTCCTGTGCACTCTTTAGCCCCCTCCCATTTATTTAGCTTCCCTGACCTTCTGTGCACTCTTTAGCCCCTCTCCCTCCTGTGCTTTTATTTAGCCTCTCTTTCCTTCTGTGCACTCTTTAGCTCCCTTCCCTCCCCCATGCTTTTATTTAGCCTCCATCACCCTCTGTGCACTGTTTAGCCCATCTCCCCTCCACTCTTTAGCCCACCTCCCCTCCACAGTATAAGTGCATTTCTTGCAGTAAGTTAGAAGTGTTTAGCTAGTATAGGGGTCTAATGTGCCCACAACGTATGTGTTATGCGTCTAGGGGCTACCACTGCATCCTCCGTATCCACCTATTGTTTTCTATATTGACTGGAGCACAATAAGAGCATTTAGGAAGGAATGGTTGCCTGACGGCAATGTTCTAGGGGAGAGATACCCATGCCGCCTCTCAATCTATTACAATATAAGATCCTTTCTGCCACTCTAGGTTTTTATGGCTATTAAACAGGTACAGTATTTTAATTTACAAATTTTACTTTTTGTCTAGATGTTTACCCTAACTTCTTTAACAATTATGGCTTTTCCTATCCCCAACACCCACTTATTCCAGAAAAATAACATCACGTGAGTGAATTATTACTTCACTAATCACATTTTCTTTTTTAATTAGGAATCATCAAAATGATGAAAACCCCCAAAGACCACCTCTAGGGAGAAAGTGGTATCCTGGACAGAGTGATGGGTATGTACAAATGGATCTACAACCTCATTATTCTAATACTTCCAAAGATGACAAAATACTCAATGTTACTCCAACAGAGGCCAAAACAATTCAAGAACCTGCAACAGCCCTTGTTAAGACTGTGGAGGAAATATTAAACTAAAATTGGAAAAATGCTTACTGGAGCCACATGCTTTACTGTAGGCAGAGTGTTCTTTTCAGCATAAGCTTCATTTTTCTTCCTGCAGACATACTGCTGATCCATTGGGCTGAAAAGTTCCAGTTTTGTTTCGTCGCTCAACAGAACTGAACCCCAAAGCTTATCTATATGATTTTGAGTATATTGGAGATGACTTTTCTTGTGCTTTTGGGTCAGTAGTGGTATGTCTTGGAGTTTTGATATGGAAACCTGCATTTAGTACACGCCTTACTGGGCTTACTGAAACCTGAGTGCCTATTGCCACCAAGTCTTGCTGCAGAATCTGTTCATAGCAAACAGCTGAAAGTCTGCACATTTTGACAATAACCTGATTTTCAATAAGGGTTGAATAATTTTCATTACAACTGTATCTGAAGATGAGCAACTATCAGTTCTGCAGACGTCATTGTAGTAAATGTCAACTTGTGTTTTAATAGTGGATTTGTAAATAAATGTGTGATTTGCAGAAATTTATAAAACTCCTGTTTAGTCCGGTCATAATTAGCCCTTAAATCTGTAACGCAAGGTAAGGCTTGTCCCTGAAATAACAACCTCAGAAGTAATGCCATTTACAGTCCCTATCGATAAATGTATGTCACAAATCCAATCGTGTAAAGTTTGGATAGGGCCTGCCCTTGAGATGTCAGACAGGCAAGGAATATTTCTCAAAATTTGATGCCACACTTGAAGTTAAAAGTATTTAGCTAGTATAGGGGTTAATCTGCCCACAACGTATGTGCTATGCATAGAGGGGCCAAGACTGCATCCTCCATATCCACCCATTGTTTTCTCAATTGACTGGAGCACTCTAAAAGCATTTAGGAAAGAATGGTTGCCTGATGGCAATGTACTAAGGGAGAGACACCCATGCCACCTCTCAATCTATTACGATATAAGATACTTTTTGCCACTGCAGGTTTCTATGGCCATTAAACTGGCACGGTATTTTAATTTTTCAAATTTAAATGTATGTCTTATCTATATGTTTACCCTAACTTCTTTAGCAATGATGGCTGTTCCTGTCCCCAACACCCATTTTTTCCAGAAAAATAATATCAAGCGAGTGAATTATGTGACTTCACAACACTAATCACATATTCGTTCTTAAATAGGGAATACCCAAATGATGAAAAACCCCAAAAAACAACTCTAGGGAGAAAGTGTTATTCTGGACAAAGCCATAGGTATGTACAATTATATCTACAACCTTATATTCTGCTTCTTCCAAAGATGACAAAATATCCAATATTACTCAGAAAGAGGCTAAAACAACTCAAGAGGCTGCAACAGCCCTATTTAAGTCCTCACACCCCACCTGTGCCCTCCTTTTTCCCCCTCCCATTTATTTAGCCTCCCTGACCTTCTGTGTACTCTTTAACCCCCATCCTGTGCTTTTATTTAGCCTCCCTCACCTTCTGTGCACTATTTAGTTCCCTTCCCTCCCCCATGCTTTTATTTAGCCTCCATCACCTTCTGTGCACTCTTTAGCCTATCTCCCCTCCACTCTTTAGCCCCCCTCCCCATCACAGTTGAAGTGCATTTCTTGCAGTAAATTAGAAGTGTTTAGCTAGTATAGGGGTCTAATGTGCCCACAACGTATGTGTTATGCAACTAGGGGCTACCACTGCATCCTCCATATCCACCTATTGTTTTCTATATTGACTGGAGCACAATAAGAGCATTTAGGAAGGAATGGTTGCCTGACGGCAATGTTCTAGGGGAGAGATACCCATGCCGCCTCTCAATCTATTACAATATAAGATCCTTTGTGCCACTCTAGGTTTTTATGGCTATTAAACAGGCACAGTATTTTAATTTACAAATTTTACTTTTTGTCTAGATGTTTACCCTAACTTCTTTAGCAATAATGGATTTTCCTATCCCCAACACCCACTTATTCCAGAAAAATAACATCAGGTGAGTGAATTATTACTTCACTAATCACATTTTCTTTCTTAATTAGGAATCATCAAAATGATGAAAAACCCCAAAGTACACCTCTAGGGAGAAAGTGGTATCCTGGACAGAGTGATGGGTATGTACAAATCGATCTACAACTTCATTATTTTGAAACTTCCAAAGATGACAAAATACTCAATGTTACTCCAACAGAGGCCAAAACAACTATAGAACCTGCAACAGCCCTAGTTAAGACTGTGGAGGAAAATTAAACTAAAAAGGGAAAAATGCTTACTGGAGCCACATGCGTACTGTAGGCAGAGTGTTCTTTCCTGCATAAGCTTCACTTTTCTTCCTCCAGACATACTGCTGATCCATTGGGCCAAAAAGTTCCAGTTTTGTTTCATCGCTCCACAGAACTGAATCCCAAATGCTTATCTATATGATTTTGAGTATATTGGAGACAACTTTTCTTGTGCTTTTGGGTCAGTAGTGATGTATGTCTTGGAGTTTTGACATGGAAACCTGCATTTAGTACTCGCCTTACTGGGCTTACTGAAACCTCAGTGCCTGTTGCCACCAAGTCTTGCTGTAGAATCTGTTCATTGCAAACAGCTGAAAGTCTGTACATTTTGGCAATAACCTGATTTTCAATCAGGGTTGAATAATTTTCATTACAATTGTATCTGAGGATAAGCAACTATCCGTTCTACAGATGTTATTGTGGTAAATGTCAACTTGTACTTTAATAGTGGATTTGCAAATAAATGTGTGATTTGCAGAAATTTATAAAACTCCTGTTTAGTCCGGTCATAATTAGCCCTTAAATCTGTAAAGCAAGTTAAGGCTTGTCCCTGAAATAACAACCTCAGAAGTAATGCCATTTACAGTCCCTATCGATAAATGTAAGTCAGGAATCCAATCGTGTAAACTTTGGATATGGGCTGCCTTTGAGATGTCCGACAGGCAAGGAATATTTCTCACAAGTTGATGCCACACTTGTTACAAGTATTTAGCTAGTATAGGGGGGTTATTTGCCCACAATTTATGTGCTATTCATAGATGGGCTTCCACCTCCATATCCACCCATTGTTTTCTAAATTGACTGGAGCACAATAAAAACATTTAGGAAAGAATGGTTGCCTGATGGCAATGTACTAGGGAAGTGACACCAATGCCACCTCTCAATCTATTACAATATAAGATCCTTTTTGCCACTCTAGATTTTTATGGCCATTAAACTGGCACAGTATTTTAACTTTCCAATTTTAATTTTTAAGTTATCTAGATGTCTACCCCAACATCTTTTAGTAATGATGGCTTTTTCTTTTCGCCACACCTACTTATTTCAGAAAAATTACGACAGGCGAATTAATTATGTGACTTCACTAATCACATATTCTTTCTTAATTAGGATACATCAAAATGAAGAAAAACCCCAAAGCACACTCCGAGGGGGGAAATTGTATCCTGAGCAAAGCTGTGGGGTTGTACAAGAAGATCTAGAAGCCTATTATTCTGCTACTCCCAAAGATGACACATTACTCAATGATATTCCAAAAGTGGACAAAATAACTCAAGAGACTGCAACATGCTTTGAAACCATTGTAAAGGCAGTGGAGCAAAATGGAATGAAAAATGAAAAAAATGCTTATGTAGATAGCCATCCTGAGATCACAGGTCTAGAAGAATATATTTCTTTTGTGTGCCCAGTTTTATCTACTGAACCTCTTACTAGTGAACTATCAGAGGAGCTGCCAGTAAACCCTGTTCAGTCACAGTCCACTCTGCTTTGCCAATCTGAGTCAATTGCTCTAGATCATGAGCAGTCCGTCACAGGTTTAGAAGAAGAAATTCTTCCAGAGGGCCCTGTTGCTAATACTGAACCTGACACAAGTGCATTAGCAGAGGAGCTACCAGTAAATCCTGATCCATCACAGTTTACTTTAGTTTCTCATGAGGCTACAAATCTAGCATCTAGGCAGTCAGTCACAGGACTAGAAGAGGATATTCCTCTAGAATGCCCACTTCATCCTCCCCAGCCTTTGACTAAGGAATTGTCCCAGGAATTGCCAGTAAATTCTACCAGTCTGGTTTATCATACTGAACCTACTTTTGATTCCACCAATTTTTCTGCAGGTAAAGTGCTAATAACAAATAAAAAGGGACCCACTGGGCAGAAGTATACTAAAAAAAAAGTCATCCAGCCTGAAGTACATGTGAGCTCTGTCATTAAACCTGAAGAGCAATCTGTGCCAGTTATTAAGCCTGCTCAGGAAAAAGAAGGTGAACCACCTGCTAAAACTAAAAATGTATACCCAGAGCAGACCACAGAGAGCCAAGCGCAAACTGCTGAGGCTGTACCTCAAACAAACCCAAATATCAAAATAGGACAAATAGCAAGGATATGCTACAGCCGTAACTTTCTGCTCAGTTTTCGGATTATAAAACAGAAGCCACCTAGCCTTCCAGATATACCTGACATACAACTACATACAACTAAGAAAACCCAACTGCAACCACTGGATTCGTCACAACAGGCTAGTTGCAATGTTTCACACCCAACTGCAAGATTCTGCCGCCCTGTTAGGGCTAAACCTAGATTTCTGGATGGACTGAGTCCAAGAAGGTCCCAGCAAGAACCTCGCAAAATAATATTAAATCAGAACATTCACCTACGTAAAGCTGAAAATGCTTGGAAACCGGCTATGAGAAGAACAAATGAAAATGCCACTAGTGTCCAGGCTCAGGAATTGTTCTGCAAAGTGCGCGGTATCCTGAATAAGGTGACTCCTGAGACATTTCAACAACTAACCAACCAAGTGGCAGACCTCTCTGTACACACAGAATATCAGCTCAAAGGTGTAATTGAACTACTATTTGAAAAATCAATATCTGAACCAAATTATTCATCTATATATGCCAACATGTGCCACTGTCTAATGAGGCTGGAAGTTCCAACAGAAAGAAATCCTAAAATTAGTATTAACTTCCGCAGGTTGCTGCTAAATCTTTGCCAGGAAGAGTTTGAAAAAGGTGAAGATGGTGACGAGCGAATTCAAAAACTACAGACGACACTGGAAACGGCTACATCACCTACAGAAAAGGCTCAAGTAAAGGAGGAATTGACCAACGCTCGTAATAAAGCACGCAAGCGCGCTCTAGGGAACATCACATTGATTGGGGAACTATTTAAACTGAAAATGCTCTCAAAAAACATCATACATGACTGCCTTACCAAACTTCTGAATAGGCAAAGTGAGGAATCAATGGAGAGCTTCTGTCGTTTGCTAACATCAGTTGGAAAACACCTGGAACGTGGACTGCCTCTTATGGATGACCATTTTAGCAGTATTGATAAACTCATCAAAAGCAGGAAAACATCTCCCCGAATTAGATTCATGATGCAAGATGTGGTGGATTTGAGGATTAACAACTGGGTGCCTCGCCGTGAAAATCTGGGTCCAAAAACAATAGCTCAGATTCATAAAGAAGCAGAATTGGATAGACAGAAACATGCAGAGAAAAATTAAAAGATAACAATATTCAATGCAATGTCAGCTGCAACTGAGCACTGCTCACTATTTTTACTTTTATGAATAAAAATGATCAAAAATATTCAAAGTGCATAGTTGTTGTAACATAAAACTAGAGGAACGAATGTTTCATGCCCAAGTATGTGTGTGTGTGTGTATATATGTGTATATATCTGATACTTCTTTTATTATATATTTTTTATTTTGTAACAATAAAGTTATAGTTTTTACTACTTTATTTGTTGTTCCTGATACATCTTGCAATCCTGACTTATATCCTTTGGTGGGGATCATACCACCACATGCTGTCTATACCAGAGCAAGATATTTGCTCTGAAATTTGTAAGTAGGATACTTTTCCTTTATTTGCACACTTTTTAATAGATATACTACACTATTGGATTTTATTTCTATTTTTATCTTTCCATATACCACTGTGGAGGATTGGATACCGCATTATACCATCACTTGATATCCTGAGACGGGGATTATACCGTCTAGGCGCTATACGGCAGAGCTCTGAGTAGCTCTGCAAAGTGTGAGTGAGTCTTTTATAAGCTTTTATATACTCTTATTTCACTTGACATATTGCACTATTATTGTCCTGTACTTTTTTGCCTTGAAGGTTTTATACATTCCTAATTAGAGGATTCTCTGTATGTATATATTTTAATTATTATTTGCCCTGTTTGGGCGCGGTTTACCACTTTTGTCTCTTCTGTTTTACTACTGTGAGCAGGTATTGGGAATTCCTGCTTGGTTCACTGCTGCCCACCTTTAGTTTATTTAGTGAGCGCCTAACTCCTCTTTGTTGTGAATATATATATATATATATATATATATATATAGAGAGAGAGAGAGAGAGAGAGAGAGAGAGAGAGAGAGAGAGAGAGAGATTGTAGTATATATGTATATTGTGAGAGAAAATGTGGAATGGTTGTTGAGGGAAAATACATTAGGCCTGATTTACTAAACGAGATTTTAGGTTTGCAAGATACATTGTTGGTACTCTGCAAACCACGTGCTCCGCCTTCACAAGTGCCAGCCCTGCAATGTGCCTTCATGGACCGGAGGGGAGATCAGAGATCTCCCTCCCCGGTCCGCAGCACTGTGCTGGAAGCCGGCAGGGGAGGGAGGGAGAGAGGACCCGGGAGCTCAGCTTGCAGCTCCTCCGGGTCCTTCTCTCGCGAGCACGGAGCATTGCCGCGGTTACCACGGCAACGCTCCAAATCTCGCAAGAGTGAACTATAGCCCTGGAGCTACGGGCTAGAGTTCACTCTAACCACTGGGACCACCAGGGATTTCCCACCGGACCACCAGGGATCCAGAAATGTCCCCCCTCCTCCCAGTAAAGGTAAGAAGGGAGGGGGGACATACATTTATTTATTTTATTAAATAAAAATAAAAAATAAAAATATTAAAAAGCCTCCCTACCCTCCTCCCCCCCCATACACACACTGCCCCACAAACACTGCCCCCATACACACACTGCCCCCCATACACACACTGCACACCCATAGACACATTTTCCCCCATGCACACATTGCCCCAAAGACACATACAGTGCCCTACACACACTTCTGCCCCCATACACACATTGCCCTACACGCACAAAACCCCCCATACACACACTGCCCCACACATACATACAGTGCCCCCCATACACACACTGCCCCACACACATATACAGTGCTCCCCATACACTCTGCTACCCATACACACATTGCCCCCCACACACACACATACAGTGCCCCCACATACACACAGCACTACACACATACAGTGCCCCCCATACACACACTGCCCCACATACACACATACAGTGCCCTCCCATACACACATTGCCTCACAGACACATGCAGTGCCCTACACACACTGCTGCCCCCTCATACACAGATTGCCCCACATGCACACGACCCCCCCATACACACACTGCCCCACACATACATACAGTGCCCCCCATACACACACTGCCCCATACACGCACTGCCCCACACACACATACTGTGTCCCCCATACACACACTGCCCCACACACATACAGTGCCCCCATACACACACTGCCCCAAACACACATACACTGCCCCCTCACATACAAACTGCACCGCTCACACACACTGCAGCTCTCTCACACACACAGCCCCACACACACACTGCAACCCTGACATACACTGCCACCCTCACGCACTCGCACACACTTCACCCCTAACACATACCACTGCTCCTATGCCCTATATCCCAGCAGACCCCAGGTAAGTTATCAAACTGTTCTTAAACATTTTGACTACTTACTCTGGAATGGGATCCTGGCACTACTGGCAACATAACTACTACACTGAGCTGTAGTGGTTATTTCTTTAAATAATCTACAAGTGCCCCTCCTGAGATCAGGCTCTGGATCCGCCACTGCTTTATACATGGAGTCCTTGGGGTATGTGTCTGCTGTATACAACCGCTTTGAAACACGACTCGGGAAGAGGAGTAAAGCCAATAAACCACTCATGGACAGCTCTGTCATTGACACACATGCAGATACATAGGCACACAGTTACAATCACTGACATACATACAGATAGAGACACACAGATACAAACACTGACACACATGCAGATACACAGACACACTGTATTTGTGTATCTGCATCCGTGTCAGTATGTGTATCAGTGTGTCCGTGTATCTGCATGTATCTGTGTGTATTTTATCTGTATGTCAATGATTGAATCTATGTGTCTATGTATCTGCATGCATGTCAGTGTTTGTTTCTCTATCTGTATGTGTGTCAGTGACTGTAACTGTGTGTCTATATATCTGCATGTATGTCAGTATGTTTTTCCTGAAGTCTGTCAGTGTTTGTATCTGTTTGTCTGTATCTGTATGAAAGAAAAAACTGTACAGGCACACAGGCAACCAATCACATAACATAGGAAGTGACTATGAAAGGCCTGTGTCTCCCACAATCCCCCTCTTTTTTTGCTGCTCTCAGACCAGTTAAGTACTCATTTGCTCAACTCTATGTCTAATGTATAATTTATTGAATTTCTTTAATTGTGTATCTTTTTATATGTTTTACTGTGCTGTTTGGGGCTTTTACTTACCTTTACCCTATCCTCTGCCTGGGTGGTGTGCCCCCGCTGGGTTTTTCTCCCCTGCCGTCCAGTCAGGCTTTCCCCACCATTCTCCTCCCTCCCTAACCCTCTCCTCTGATCGTGGGTGGCCTCCTGGTGGGTGGCCAGCTGTGTTGCGGTCGGGGTGGCACTTGCGAGCCTCCGCTCCTAACAGCGCTGGCTCCCTGGGTGCAGACGGGTCGGGCCGCGTGGGTACTGTGCATGCGTCCCTCCCCTGCAGTTTTGCTATACACGAGGTGCTCCTGCCACTGCCTCGTGCGGCGGCCATCTTGGATCGGGGTTTGCCGCAATTTTACCGCGGGCTTATTGGGTTCCCTCTCCTCTTACCAGGCAGTCCTCCCCTTACCCTGTCAGCCTCTGAGGTTCTTTCCTGGGCACACCACCATTCAGGTACTCTGTTTGCTGTTATATATATTGCCTAATTAACCGTTTCTTCTCCTGTGGGTTACTCAACCCTGTCCTGCTAGGTTCATACGTTTAATTTTCTTGTTGTGCATCAGCGTACATTTTAACCCCTTAAGGACCAAACTTCTGGAATAAAAGGGAATCATGACATGTCACACATGTCATGTGTCCTTAAGGGGTTAAAGATTTTCTCATTCTATCTCCCCGTTTGTGCATTTGTACTTTGCCATCTATAGTGATAGGAATTGCATGGATGTGTCCAGATCACATGGGCTTTTTAAATTTACAAGTTAACTTTCTTACCAGAGGGACCTGATCTTGCTATATATTTCTGACTGTTTATTTTATTTATTTTAATAAATTATATATTCTCCTTAGATCTATATGTGTTATTGCAGGCTTGCAAGTTTGTTTTTGTTGAATAGACAATACATTTTCATTTTATATACTAACCCTTCTTGCTATGCAGGCTGAGGGTGATGGGCCTGAGGGCCGATTTAATGATTTTTCCTCAGGGGCAACTGAGCAGACTGTGACCCCTGGGAGCTTTTGTCAGACCTTACTTGTCTCCAATATGGCGTAGTCCATGCCATAAATTTTTGCCTCAACCCTGGAAGCGGAGTCGTCTTCGCTTTCCCAGTTTTTTTGACGCAAGCTCCCTTAGTGCCCCCTGCGGCTACCCCTACTCTACTGGATATGGGACCCCCTTCTGCCCCGCCTTGCCCGGGGCCCGTAAGGCTACGGCAAAGGCTTATCACCTCATCTCCCACTCAGTGATGCAGGTCCTGCCTGCTATGACGGACTCGCTGAGATGGCGCACTCCCACCGTGCATATGAGCCCCTGGTCGGGCAAAAAAGACCAAACTGTGGGTACAGGCTAGACCCCGTACTGAGAGGTCAGTTACTGACCAGAGTGAGGAGATGGATTATGTGGTTATGGTAGGTGCCTTCCCATGGCGAGGTTTGGTTCAGGGGAGGATGGTTCCCCCCCCTGCCATGGCGACCCTTACTAGGGCTACTGCTTCGTTCAGGTGCTCCTGCTTGGGCGGGTGTTAGGGGGCCGACACCTTTTGGGTCCTCTGGGTAATCCCCCAGTTTCTTTAACAAATCGGGCTGGTAACCTCGATAGCTCTGGGCTTCTTCCTGGAGGATTTCAGAATTTACTTATAGAAGCGCTGGGTCCCTGATTTACGGGACTCGTTCCGAACACGTCAAAGCTCCTTCCCCCCTATGCGGGATTTCCACGAACTCTAGCCTCCACACTCCTCCCCATCAAGAGGGAGAATATATTAAATCCCTGCCACCCCCTTGGTAACACGTCGGGCGGATGCCCTTCTGGTGGATACCCATTATTCCCCTCCTCCACAAGGACGGGTGGCAGGCAGGTTTGGCCCAGTTTCTACTACAGATGGGCTGCCTTGACTATAGGCTCATGGTTTCTCCAAGTGGTGCGGGGCTACCGTCTAGA